ATACATATATTAATATCCTTTTTTACATTCTTTTCCCATTTAGGTTGTTACATAACATTGAGCAGAGTTACCTGTGTTATACAGTAGGTCCTTGTTGGTTATCCATTTTAAATATGCAGTGTGTACACGGCCATCCCAAACTTCCAATCTATCTCTCCCCCCAACCTTTCCCCTCTGGTAACCGTAAGTTTGTTTTCTAAGTCTGGGAATGTATTTCTGTTTTGTAAATAAGCTCATTTGTATCTTTAAAAAAAAAAGATTTATAGAGGTTTCAGTTTATTGATATGGTCAGTGTAGAATGCTTTGGGAAATTGACTGTCTCAGGCAACTCTTACAATATATCATAGACTGGGTGGCTTGAACAACAGAAATTTATTTTCTCAAGTTCTGGAGTCGTGAAGTCCAGGATCATGGTACCAACAAGGTAAGAACTTCCCTTCCCGCCTCACAGATGCTGCCATTTCACTGCATCCTCCTGTGACAGGGAGAGCAAGCTATCTGTCCGTTCTTGTAAGAGCACTGATTCCATCATGAGAACCTCACCCTTTCAACCTTATCTAAACCTCATTACCTTACAAGGCCCCATCTCCAAATACCAACACACTGGGGTTTAAGACTTCAACACATGAATCTGGGGGAACATAACTCAGTTCATAGCAATGACCATCAAGCAGGTTCTTGAAGAAGTGGAGGCATGAACCATCTGAATATTAGGAAGAGTGTTCCAGGCAGAGAAAGCAGCAAAGGCCAAGGCCCTGAGCTGAGATGGTGCCTACGTGCATCTGAGCAGCAAAGAGGCCTGCAGGGCTGGAGCGAGTGAGCAAGGGGAGAGTGAAGTGGTCCGGAGGGTGGGGGAAGATCGATAGGGCTTTGTAAGCAAGTGCAAGGACTTGAATTTTGGTTTTTTGTTTGTGTTTTTAAGAAGTGGATTTATTTAGAGAGATACACATTCCAGGTGGTGCAGTGGTAAAGAATCCATCTGCCAATGCAGGAGACGCAAGAGATAGAGGTTCGATCCCTGGGTTGGGAAGATCCCCTGGAGAAGAACACAGCAACCCACTCCAGTATTCCTGCCTGGAGAATCCCATGGACAGAGGAGCCTGGTGGGCTACAGTCCATGGGGTCGCAAAGAGTTGCACAGGACTGAACTGACTGAGCACACACATATACACATTCCACAGACAAAATGCTGTTGGTCTCAAAAGGTGAGAAAGACCTTGGGAGAAACACTCCACAGAGAAAGCATGGGCTGTCTCAGGAGGCAAGAGACCAGGACTTGAGTTTTATTCTGAGAGAAATGGGGAGCCACTGGCAGGCATGAAGAGTCTACTAGAGAAGGGATGTTCCTGGATGGGTGTTAGGAAATACGATCCCAAGAACAGGTGAGGGCTCTATCGCACAGGGGACCCTGCTCAATATTCTGTGGCAACCTGGGTGGGAGGGGAGTTTAGGGGAGAATGGATATTTATATACGTTTGCCTGAGTCCCTTCATTGTTTACCTATAACTATCACAATAGTAATTGGCTATACCCCAATATACAATAAGTTAAAATTTAAAAAAAAGAACAAGTGACGATTCCCTGTAAGTAGGAGCACAAGTGGTCCCGAAACAAGAGAGAAGGCAGCGTACAGGCACACACATCCCCCATGCCGTGCGCTGTTACCCCTGTGGCACCTGTCACCATCTGTCAAATTATACAGTCATGTGTTTCTTGTTTATTGTCTTTTCCCTTCACTGGACTGTGAGCTCCACCGACTCAGTGATCCTGGTATTCAACTGCTGTTTCCCTAGAACCATGCCTGGCATGTAAAAACACCAAATACTTTAAAAATTCTTTGCCTGGATGACTGGCCAACTGAGAAAGAGAGAAGATAAGGTTTGCAGTTCTAGCTATATTCCATTCTCCATATTTTGAAAATCACATATCGCACACCAGAACAAAGAGCTGTACCCGTCCCCAGTCCATTGCGATAAGAGCTGATGCTGTTCTTATTTTCAGATTCAGGCTTGGTGGCGTGGAATGATGGTACGCAAAGGATGTGGGAGATTTGAAGAACTGCTAAAATTGCAAAAGAAGGGAAGGAATTCTCCAAAAGATAAGAAAGGAAAGAAAGATGTAAAAGGAAAACCTGTAAAGAAAAATAAATAATTCGATAAATGTATGAATTGAGGTAATGAAACCTGGTGGATTAAGAAGGCAAAATCTCTAGGAATTAGATGCCTATCATATAAAAATTATTCACAGAGTTATCAGTTCAGTTCAGTCACTCAGTCGTGTCCGACTCTTTGTGACCCCATGGACTGCAGCATGCCAGGCCTCCCTGTCCATCACCAACTCCTGGAGTTTACTCAAACTCATGCCCATCGAGTTGGTGATGCCATCCAGCCATCTCAAACTCTTGTCGTCCCCTCCTCCTCCTGCCCCCAATCCCTCCCAGCATCAGGGTCTTTTCCAATGAGTCAACTCTTTGCATGAGGTGGCCAAAGTATTGGAGCTTCAGCTTCAGCATCAGTCCTTCCAATGAACACCCAGGACTGATCTCCTTTAGGATGGACTGGTTGGATCTCCCTGCAGTCCGAGGGACTCTCAACAGTCTTCTCCAACACCACAGTTCAAAAGCATCAATTCTTCGGCACTCAGCTTTCTTCACAGTCCAACTCTCACATCCATACATGACCATTGGAAAAACTATAGCCTTGACCAGACGGACCTTTGTTGGCAAAGTAATGTCTCTGCTTTTTAATATGCTGTCTAGGTTGGTCATAACTTTCCTTCCAAGGAGTAAGCGTCTTTTCATTTCATGGCTGCAATCACCATCTGCAGTGATTCTGGAGCCCCCAAAAATAGACAGTTTCCACTGTCTCCCCATCTATTTCCCATGAGGTGATGGGTTATAGTTACATATAAATATAAAGATTCTTTTACTGAAATGTTTATGGATAAAATGCTTTGATGTCTGGGAATTGCTTCAGAATAATAGCAGAGAGAGATAAGTGTAGATGATCCAAATGAACCAATAAGTGTGCTTAGTCACTCAGTCACGTCTGACTCTCTACGACCCCATGGACTGTAGCCCTCCAAGCTCCTCTGTCCGTGGGATTATTTTCCAGGCAAAAATACTGGAGTGGGTTGCCATTTCCTTCTCCAGAGGATCTTCTCTACCCAGGGATCGAACCCAGGTCTCCTGCATTGCAGGCAGATTCTTTACTGTCTGACCCACCAGGGAAGCCCTAAAATGAACCAAGATCAGCCATAAACTGTAATTGTAAAAGCATGTGATAGGTACATGGAGGTTCACTATACTATCATGTCTGCTTTTAAAACTGTTAATTACACTGCAATGTTGTAAAGTAATTAGCCTCCAACTAATAAAAATAAATGGGAAAAAAAAGAAAAAAATAAAACTGTTAATTATGAAACAATTCACAGGATGTTCCAAAGAAATGTACAGAAAGGTCCATGCACCCTTCACCCTTCCTCAGTGTTGATATCCTCCATGACTATAGGAATGGACGTCAGTACCATCCACAGGCCTTATTCAGATTCCGTCACTTATACATGCACTTGTCACTTATTTGTGAGTGTGTGTGTAGTCCAATGCAATTTTCTTACATGCAGCTTTTGTGTAGCCACCACCACAATCAAGATACAGAATTGTTCTATCACCACTTGTGCTGTTACCCTTCGTCACACCTACCACCTATCTCTCTTCCAGCCCCTAACCTGTAATTTTGTTATTTCAGGAGGATCATATAAATGGAATCACATAATAAGTAGCAATTGGGGACTGGCCTTTTTATTTTGCATAATTCACTTCCAGTCCATCCAAATGGTGCACGTAGCAATAGTTCATTCCTTTGCGGTTGCTGAGTAGTATTACATAGTTTGCTCACCATCTACCCATTGAAAGGTGTTTCTCTGTTTCCAGTTTTTGGCTAGTATGAATAAAGTCGCTCCGAACATTTACTCAGAGAAGTAAAGAATCATTACCTAAAACATCCCCATTTATCCTAATCAAGACTTCTTCACCCTGATGACTTTTTCTTTTGGAATAATATTGATTTCAAATTCAACATGTCCTTCAAGCAATGATTATAATATGAATTATTAGTATAGCAAGAAGAAACCAAAACATAATATGATTAGAATATATCAGAATAGAAATGTGTGAGCAGATCCCTCTGCCATGCAATGAATTTCATGCTCTAGTAAGAGAAAACCAGAAATTCCCAAAATCACTGACAGCAACACAGGAACTTTAATTAATGAATTAAATAGGTTTTTATGAGGCAAATTCCATGTCCAGGAAATGCTCAGAGGTATTAGTAATATGTTAATTTGTTTATTTTAGCAACAAAATATTTTACTTTATTTTAACAAGGTATGATTTTGTTACTGGGTTTTGAATTTTTGATCATTTTTAATGAAGATCTGTATGTCAGTGACCATTATTTGTACTCATGGTTTGTATCTGATATAAAAGGCAAGAGAACAAAAAACAATAAACAACTGAAGGGCATACTTTTTGATGAAGATTACATTTCCATCAGACCACATTGAGACACATATGATGATAAAGATAACATGAAAATGTTCCACATTTTCACATTGGTGCCTTCACATTGGAATTTTACACACTCACATAAATACACACCCCTATATTTAAAACATTTAGTAAAAGAGGCAGAAAATTCTAGGGAAAGAAAAAAGGAGATGTGTTACTGGAATCTAAACATTTTGTCAGGCCTTCTAAATAGAAAATGAACTATGTATCCAAACAAATGAAAACCCATTGAAAAATGCCACCATTGTTTCATAAAATAGAGCATAAAACAGCATGTTCTTCTTAGATTATCCTAGACATATATTTACAAAGCTCTTGTAACATGAATCACAGCTCAGAAGCTGGTATTCCTTTGACTTCACCAGGATTCACTCATGTTCTTTTCTTCTTCCTTTGGGTGACATGTAGTTTAGTTGAGCCTTGGAAAGTCAGCTTACTGAAACCCACCATGGTCAAAGTGAATGCTGCTTCTCTGATCTTGGTCAAAGCCTTGTAGTTCTTCCTCCTGTGAAGCTGAGAGAAGCCATCTCTTCATTCCTATCTCAGTGATCTTGGGAAGTTTGGTCACGGCACTTAGCAAGTGTCTAAACCATTGTCCGCACTTCCTAAAAGTTGATGGCCGAAGGCTTATATCCAGCTCAGTTAATTCCTTGAGGAGCCACAGGTTTTGGCAGAAGATGGTCCATCCTGCCTCACAGATGCTGTCGTTATAACTCAGGTCCAGCTTCTGCAGCCTGGTCAGGTGACCCGTCTGAATTACCGATGCTGAAAAATAAAATCACTCTGCTAAAAGCCAAGAACACTTGCTAGTCAACTGTTTCCCACTTCCAATAACACAACACACTAGCTCCAGGATTTGTAATAAGAGTTGCACTAAGATGACACCACCCTTATGGCAGAAAGTGAAGAGGAACTAAAAAGCCTCTTGAAAAGTGAAAGAGGAGAGTGAAAAAGTTGACTTAAAGCTCAACATTCAGAAAACTAAGATCATGGCATCCAGTCCCATCACTTCATGGCAAATAGATGGGGAGACAGTGGAAAGAGTGTCAGACTTTATTTTTGGGGGGCTCCAAAATCACTGCAGATGGTGATTGCAGCCATGAAATTAAAAGACACTTACTCCTTGGAAGGAAAGTTATGACCAACCTAGATAGCATGTTAAAAAGCAGAGACATTACTTTGCCATCAAAGGTCTGTCTGGTCAAGGCTATGGTTTTTCCAGTGGTCGTGTATGGATGTGAGAGTTGGACTGTGAAGAAAGCTGAGTGCCGAAGAATTGATGCTTTTGAACTGTGGTGTTGGAGAAGGCTCTTGAGCGTCCCTTGGACTGCAAGGAGATCCAACCAGTCCATCCTAAAGGAGATCAGTCCTGGGTGTTCATTGGAAGGACTGATGCTGAAGCTGAAGCTCCAATACTTTGGCCACCTCATGCAAAGAGTTGACTCATTGGAAAAGACCCTGATGCTGGGAGGGATTGGGGGCAGGAGGAGAAGGGGATGACAGAGGATGAGATGGCTGGATGGCATCACCAACTCGATGGGCATGAGTTTGTGTAAACTCCAGGAGTTGGTGATGGACAGGGAGGCCTGGCGTGCTGCAATTCATGGGGTCGCAAAGAGTTGGACACGACTGAGCAACTGAACTGAACTGAACTGAAGTGAAGTAATAGAATGTTATTAGCTAGCAGTTTTTTTTTTTTTTCAGGGCATTTGAAATTACTCTGGTAACACCTCTCTGCATCCCATGTACAGCTTGAAAATGGATTTTTTTCTCTTTCCAAATTCCAACCCAAAGAATGTCTTTTCTGGTTGAGTTCATGCTCTCTGCTCTCATGGAGCCCCAGCTCTTGCTGCAGGCTTTCTCTAATTAAATGTGAGGAGTGACTTCTCACTGGCTTTAACTCAGGATCATTTGTGAATAGTCTTCTTGCTGTTTAATGCTGTTTCATTATTCATTGTTTATTTACTTACTCTTCATTCAACAGTTATTTAATTGAGTACTTTCCATGGACAAAATATACTTGGATAATTTCTAATTCATGGGTCAATTAGAACCTTTCATACATGGGTCAGTTTTTCCTTTGAATAGCACACATTAGGTAGTATCACAGTGCTACCTAAAATGGCTCTTAATAAATAACAGTTAATGAGGAAGCTAAGAAAAGGAGCGAGGAGAGACAGCCAGAGCAGACAACATGTGCTTCCCTTTTCAGCCAAAAGCAGGAATGGGTTATAGAGATGAGATGGGCAGAATCTCAGAGCTGGAAGGGACCCTGGAGGGCTCCTCATTCAACCTCTAGATGGATGATCAGAGAAAAATCCCTCTCACAGCTTCTCTAAGGGGGACCAGCCCAATTCTGCCTGAAGCCCCTTTCAGGTTGCCCCAACAGAGGGAAGCAGCTCTCAGCTGGAGGAAGCCGTGCCTCTGGGCCCCATCTGACCTTGCCACTGCCTACCTGCTAGGAATCTCAGCTCCCTCCACGTGCCAACCATGCAGTGTTGGACAACAGTCAGGTCCCCGCAAATGTCCCCCTTTTAGGACTAAACATGCCCTGGTCCTTCAATCATTTGTCACACATCATGGCTTCCAGACCAAGCAGGATGCTCCATTCCCATCAAGGCTTACTATAAATCTTTAGTAACCAAGACAGTATGAAATTGGTAAAAAAATAGACGCATAGACCAATGGAGGCTTCCCTGGTGGCTCAGTGGTAAAGAACTTACCTACATTTTCTTCTTACCCTCTTAACAGTATCTTTCATACAGCATAACTCACAGTTTTGATAAAGATCTATTTATCAATTTGCTAATTTGGTGGGCAGAGCTTTCTGTGTTATATCTTAAAAACTTTTTGCAAAACTCAAGTTCCCAAGTATTTTTCCTAGATTTTATTCTAAAGGTTTTACATTTACATTTTACGTATCCATTTTGAGTTGTTTTTGTCCAAGTTGTGAGATATAGGCTGAAGTTAATATTTTTGTATATGATAGCTCAATTAATCAAGCCTTCAACTAATCAAGTCATTAGTTGAAAAGCCTTACTGAATTGATTTTTCATTTTTGCCAAAAATCAACCCCATGGACTGTAGCCTGCCAGATTCCTCTGTCCATGGGATTCTCCAGGAAAGAATACTGGAGTGGGTTGCCATTTCCTTCTCCAGGGGATCTTCCCGACCCAGGCATTGAACCCATGTTTCTTGTGTCTCCTGCATTGGCAGGCAGATTCTTTACCACTAGCACCATCTGGGAAGCCCTCATTAGTCATTTAGTTCAGTTCAGTTGCTCAGTCGTGTCTGAGAAAGAGAAAAAAATCCATTTTCAAGCTGTACATGGGATGCAGAGAAGTGTTACCAGAATAATTTCAAATGCCCTGAAAAAAACTGCTAGCTAATAACATTCTATTACTTCAGTTCAGTTCAGTTAAGTTCAGTCGCTCAGTCGTGTCTGACTCTTGTGACCCCATGAATCACAGCATGCCAGGCCTCCCTGTCCATCACCAACTCCTGGAGTTTACACAAACTCATGCCCATCAAGTTGGTGATGCCATCCAGCCATCTCAAACTCTGTCGTCCCCTTCTCCTCCTGCCCCCAATCCCTCCCAGCATCAGGGTCTTTTCCAATGAGTCAACTCTTTGCATGAGGTGGCCAAAGTATTGGAGCTTCAGCTTCAGCATCAGTCCTTCCAATGAACACCCAGGACTGATCTCCTTTAGGATGGACTGGTTGGATCTCCCTGCAGTCCAAGGGACTCTCAAGAGCCTTCTCCAACACCACAATTCAAAAGCATCAATTCTTCGGCACTCAGCTTTCTTCACAGTCCAACTCTCACATCCATACATGACCACTGGAAAAACTATAGCCTTGACCAGACGGACCTTTGTTGGCAAAGTAATGTCTCTGCTTTTTAATATGCTATCTAGGTTGGTCATAACTTTCCTTCCAAGGAGTAAGCGTCTTTTAATTTCATGGCTGCAATCACCATCTACAGTGATTTTGGAGCCCCCCAAAAATAAAGTCTGACACTGTTTCCACTGTTTCCCTGTCTATTTGCCATGAAGTGATGGGACTGGATGCCATGATCTTAGTTTTCTGAATGTTGAGCTTTAAGCCAACTTTTTCACTCTCCTCTTTCACTTTCATCAAGAGGCTTTTTAGTTCCTCTTCACTTTCTGCCATAAGGGTGGTATCATCTTCATATCTGATATTTCTCCCTGAAATCTTGATTCCAGCTTGTGCTTCTTCCAGCCCAGCGTTTCTCATGATGTACTCTGCATATAAGTTAAATAAGCAGGGTGACAACATACAGCCTTGACATACTCCTTTTCCTATTTGGAACCAGTCTGTTGTTCCATGTCCAGTTCTAATTGTTGCTTCCTGACCTGCATACAGGTTTCTCAAGAGGCAGGTCAGGTGATCACACATTAGTCATTAGGGAAATCCAAAATAAAATCACAGTGATTTGTCCCCATCTTCTAATTACAGTGTTTGGCCATAACACTTAAGCACGTATTTATTCCAACTAGGTTGAAATATCAGAGAACAGTGTGAACGTAACACAAATTTCTTGTTTGCTTACACATAATTCATCCACAGGAAACACAAGGTGAACAGAAAAAAACTACACCTAACTGAGCAAAGCCAGGAATAGGCGTAAACAAAATCCACACATGCACAGCCCCCCCAAGGACAAGGAGCCTTGCCCATCCACATCCAGTTCCAACTTTCTATTCTATGTCAGATAATCCTCCTTCTTCCACCCCATTATCTGTATCTATCTCCTTTTGCTTTTTTTTAATGGTTGGCTGCCTCTGGTGGCTTGCAGGATCTTAGTTCCCCAACTAGGAATAGAACCTGCACACTCAAAAGTGACAGCATGAAGTCCTAATCACTGGACCACAGGGAATTCCTCCATCTCCTTGTATGAACCAGTCTCTACTGTGTATTTGGTGTTAGAATTGCCTGTGTCTATTTTAGGGCTTCCCAGGTGGCTCAGTGGGTAAAAGATCTACCTGCAATGCAGGAGGGATGCAGTTTCGATCCCTGGGTTGAGAAGATCCCCTGCAGGAGGGCATGGCAACCCACTGCAGTGTTCTTGCTGGAGAATGCCAAGGACAGGAAGCCTGTTGGGCTCCAGTTCATGGGGTTGCAAAGAGTTGGACATGACTGAAGTGACTGAGCACAAACCAGCTTTCTCCGAAGCCGATGTCAAGGAACAGGGAAGGTGCGCAGAGAGCTTAACTCCAGGCCTCACTGCCTCCTCCGCCTCCCTTCCCCCAGGATGGCAGGGCAGGCACACGGGGCTCTGAGAGTCAGGATGGCTTTGGAACCAGAAGATACACACCCAAGACAGCCATGTCCTCTGTCACCAGGGCACAGCTGCTCAGCCTCAGCACTTGAAGAGACATTGAACGCTTTAGCATCTCCAGGAGCAGCTTCAGGTTGCCGCCAATACACTTATTCCAAGAAAGGTTGACTATTTTCAGAGCAGGGAGGTGAATGGAGGCTTCAGCTGAAATTGACAGCGATAAGAATAGCAATAACTTAGACTTCCTTAGAGGTCATAAACTTTGAACTTGAGCAACCTAGGCTAGGGCAACATCATTAGCACTGAGTTAAGAGAGTCATGAGCTTCCCTGGTGTCTCAGATGGTAAAGAAACCATCTGCAATGCAGGAGACCTGGGTTCGATCCTTGGGTTGAGAAGATCTCCTGGAAGAAGGCATGACAACCCACTGCAGTATTCTTGCCTGGAGAATCCCCATGGACAGAGGCACCTAGTGAGCAACAGTCCATGGGGGTCACAAAGAATCAAACATGACTGAGCAACTAGCACATTTACTTTCAGAGACATCTTAGTTGCAGCATGTGGGATCTAGTTCCTGACTGGGGATCGACCCTGGGTCCCCTGCATTGGAGTGTGGAATATTAGCCCATGGACCACTAGGGGAATCCTGAGATCCAGCAGTCTTTGGATTAAATTGGGTGAAAGAGGGACATCATTTCTGGGTGTGGGCAGTACCCTCCACAATTCCTTGTTTCTCCTGCCTGAAATCCATGGATTCAATTTATGTTGCCTATTTTCATTTGGAAGAAATTTTGGAAACTTCAGAAAAGTAAAACTTGGTTAAATGGTTAATTCACTATCAACTGGCATTTCTTTCCTTCACGTCACGTTTAAGAAGGAGAGAGCATTTGGAAGAAATTTTGGAAACTTCAGAAAAGTAAAACTTGGTTAAATGGTTAATTCACTATCAACTGGCATTTCTTTCCTTCACCTCACGTTTAAGAAGGAGAGAGAGGTAAACAGTTTTCTCATCTAGTCAAGATTTCCAGAGTGTATTCTGCTTTTACACATCCCACTGGCTTCTGAAATGGAGACAAGGCCAAACCTTCCTGGAACTCTGAAACACCAAAATGTATTGTGTTTACTTAACTGCAGTTACAGGAACAAGGAAGGGAAATAGTGTATCTTGGAAAGATGTTTAAAGGAAATTGAAGGATTTTCTGCCTAGTTCATAGTTTCCCCTAACATTAAAACTAACCAGAGCAACTTATTCACAAGGTATAGTCATTAATTACATTTTACATTTTCTTTCTAAAAAATGTTTGAGGGGTAGATATATATGCTTTTTATAATATCTAATAAGGACACCCCTCCCACTCATATGATTCAGTGACCTATTAACAAGAAATTGAACTTTTTATTCTAAAAATGATATAAAGAAATATGTATATATTTACTAGATATATATTTATATGTGTGTATATTTATATGCATAAATACATATTTATATGTATATATTTCCCTGTATATATTTACTTCTTTTTTATTGTTGGTTTACTTCTTAATTCAAATGGAATTAAACAGATCTTCCCTGACTTATGGTGGGATTGCATTCTGATAAGTTGAAAATATCTTAAGTAAAAAATGAATGTAGTACACCTAGGTCATCAGTATAACTTTGCCTAACCTGGTGGGCTACAACAGTCCACAGGGTTGCAAAGAGTCGGACACAACTGAAGTGACTTAGCACACACGCACACAACCTACCTAAACATTCTCAGAACACTTATATTCATCCACAGTTGGGCAAACTCATCTTACACAAACCCTATTTTATACTTAAGTGTTGGATATTTCATGGAATTTATTGAATACTATACTGAAAGTGAAAAACAGAGCTGTCTGGGTACAGAGTGGTTGTTAAGTTTGCCTTTATGATGGCTTGAGAGAGTATCATACCACATTATGTATCATTAGCTCAGGGGAAGATCAAAATTCTAAGTGTGATTTCTACTGAATGTATATTGCTTTTAGAAAGTAAAAGCCACTCAGTCATACCCGACTCTTTGCAACCCCATAGACTATATAGTCCATGGAATTCTCCAGGCAAGAATACTGGAGTGGGTAGCTGTTCCCTTCTCTAGGGGATCTTCCCAACCTAGAGATCAAACCCAGGTCTCCTGCATTGCAGGTGGATTTTTTTACCAGCTGAGCTACCAGAGAAGCCATTACATCATCTTAAAGTTGAAAACTCTTAAGTTAAACCATTGTTAAGTCAGGGATTATCTGTAGATTCATGTCACATGATGCAATTTAGTGTAATATCTACTTGATTATGATTCTTTGATTGTGTAGCTATAATTGAAAAGAGTTATGCCTTCTGATGGCCCATCAGACTCACAGCAATCTCAATTTATATTGACCTCGGTGGAATTACAAGGTACTACAAATGTGAACCTCCAAAGTTGGTTATACAGCCATCCCTCCATATAGACAGGGATATTGTTTCCAGAATCCATCAATACTGAAGTCCCTTATGTAAAGTGGCATAGAATTTGCACATAATATATGCACATCCTCCCATATATACTTTAAATCATCTCTGTGCTGTGCTAAGTCACTTCAGTTGTGTCCAACTCTTTTCAACCTATGGACTATAGCCTGCCAGGCTCCTCTGTCCATGGGATTCTCCAGGCAAGAGTACTGGAGTGGGTTGCCATGACCTCCTGCAGGGTATCTTCCTGACCCAGGGATTGAACTCACAACTCTTCTGCATTGGCCGGTGGGTTCTTTACCACTAGCACCACCTATATAATACCTAACACAATATAAATTCTATCTATATAGACAGTTGCCTGAATGAGGCAAATTCAAGTTTTGCTTTTTGGAGCTTTCTGGAAATTTTTTTCCAGAAATTTTTTCCAAATTATTTTTGACCTGCTTTTGGTTGAATCCATGGATTTGGAACCCCTGGATACAAAGAGTCAACTATGCACACCTTAAAATGTTAAAGGTTAAATTTGCAAAAGCCAGAAGTCATCCATGTGGCTTTGAAAGTCACTTTTAAGAGAGCCTATTTCCTGAAAAGAAGACAGATTGATACTTCACTGTGCCTATGGCTGGGCCTTGGAATGGAATTCACTTGGAAACAGAGGCCTCCCTCTCGGGTGTTACCGCACCAGTGTCTGCAGGGATCCGGAGAATCGCTTACCCAGGGCGGTAAAAGTCTCACTCTCCAAAGCACAGTTGCTGATTATCAATGACTTCAACGCTGGTAAAAATCGGAGCCTGCTGAGTAGGTTTTCAGAAGAGCTGCCCATCTCTTTGTTGGCAGATAAATCCAATTCCTGAAGGCTCGAGAATAAAGGGATAACGGGAGCTGTTAAAACATCAAGAGGGACGTGGCTCAGGCAGCATCTCACAAGGGGTCTCTGGGTGTTGAGGTGCCACAGTCTTCTTGATCAGCAAGCGTGGTGCTTGCCTATGTGACCCCTGCCCTTCCTTACACACCATTCCTCACCACACACGCCAGCCACTTTCCCCAGCATGCAGCTTGGGCTCTTCTCTAAGCCTCTCTCCAGGCCGGAAGTAGAGAGCAAAGACTTTGGAGACAGGGGAGACTGGGTTCTCATCCTGTTTGTTGTTAAAGAACAGTGTGACTTTGGGGAAGTTGCTTAACTTCTCTGAACCTCAGTTTTTCGATGATAAAAACAACAATAACTACTCCATAGAGAGAACGGGAAGATAAAACGACCTGGTATATATAAAGTGCCTGGCACAGTGCCTGGCATGCATTAACTGCTCAGTTAATGTTTGATATGATCATCCTTTCCTCAGAATGTAAGTCAGAAGGCAATGAAATCAAGCAATCAGAACAGATGTCTGTTGGGACTTCCCTGGCAGCCCAGTTGTTGGGACTCCACGCTTCCAATGCAGGGGGCCCTAGTTCAATCCAGGCTGGGGAACTAAGATCCCACATGCAGCTAAATTTTTTTTTTTTAATTAAGGTATGTATATTGGTTAAAAAAAAAAAAAACCCCACCACATGTCTGTTGGTAACAGCACCAGAGTGGGGTCCTGAGGGCCCCTGCTGTGCCAGGAGGGACCCCTGTTTCCCTGTCTTGCTGCTGCTTTTCCTGCCTTCAGGCCTTTGCCCTAGTTCTTCCCTGTGTGGGAAATATAGTTTCCTGGACCCCTGGGGGGCTGACTCACCTCCTCAGAGCCTTCCAGGGCCACCAAAGCCACAGGAACCTTGTGTTCACAATGACATCACCCTATTCTCTTTTCCTCCCAGGACCCCTATTGCGTGACTTGTTTGTGTATCTATTGTTCGTATGCAGATCTTCTGCCCTCCCTCACTGAAGGTGAGCTCTTTGTGTAGAGACTGCTTCCTGCCCAGAATGTGCATCAGAGTCTGGAAATCGGAGGCACAAACGTTAGTGGAAGGAGAGAAAGACAGGAGAAAGGAAGGGGAAGGAAAGGAAAAAAGAGGGCAGGTACTTGTGATCCCTACAGATGCAACAATTTCTCCCTCGTCTGATGCCCACAGCACATTGTATTCACCATGTGTGCTAAGTCACTTCAGTCACATCCGACTCTCTGACTCCATGGACTGCAGCTTGCCAGGCTCCTCTGTCCATGAGATTTCCCAGGCAAGAAAACTGGAGTGGGTTGCCATTTCCTTCTCCAGGGGATCTTCACTATGTATTTGGTTTATTTCCACCCTCACCAAACTGAAGCTCCTGACTCTGAATTTCCCTTAGCCTGCAGCACAGGGCCTTGAACAACTAGATGATTGATCAGATGTCATTGGCTAAGTGATCTATAATTCCCTTTCTTTGAAGCCATTGAGAATGATCAGATAAAAGAATGTTCAATTCTTTAACATCACAAGGTAGAAAACAGGATGTATTTTCAATTCTGTCTTTTTAAAACTGAGCAGGAGGACCATGCAATTCTTATTAAATAACCATTACCTTTCTGGGGCCATTTATTCCCATTGGTGGCTGTGAATCCAGATAATAGAGGCTAATCTCTCAGTTGCACAATTCAAGGTTAACAATTCAAGTCCTCTAGCACTTTAATCTTCATCTGAGCAGCAAGATGAGATGTGAGGTTTGTGTTATTTAGTTGTAGCAGGGGAAATTCATTATTTGGAATCCGATGGCCTGATAATTCAGGAGTGTCTCCGCAGGTATGACACTCATAAGTAAAAGGGATGCTAATCCCATCACAGTCTCCATTTAAAGCTCAAAAAGGTAATTTTAAAATCTTCATGAAAGACTCAAACTCATTTCATTTTCCCAAATAGAGGGATAAGAGTCTAAGAAATAAATTAGCAGGCCTAAAAGATCGATATTAGACCCAAAGACCTATTTTGCTGTTTTCTTCCCCCAATTGTACGAAAAATGACAAAAATTTCTTTTTCTCGTTCTTTATTGATTGATTCATTCAATCGCACATTGAACAAGCATTTGCTGGGTGCCAACTCTGTGCCAGACCTTGTGCACAAACAATAGAGAGATACTGAAGAAAACCATCCCTACCTAGGAGGAGCCCATAGTTAGGACAGAAAGCAGAGCATGGCTGGTGTGCCATGTGTAACTGGAGCACAGTTACACAGCACAGTGTAACTGGAGAAGTTGATGGGGGAAAGAAATAGCGAATGCCGTCAGAGTGACAGGAGCAGGAAAACCATCTAGACACTTGCAATAATCTAGGCATGAAACTGACAGTGGGCTGGAGCAGGATAGTAGAGGTCTAGACAGTGAGCCATGGTCAGATTCAGGATATATTCTGAAGGTTTATTGTGGCTGCAGATGGAATAAAACCCTTAATCCCTATGGCTATGCTTGCTGTTTGTTAGGGGAAACTGCATATACATTACCTGTTACAGGACTATATCTGTGGTAGGAAAGTAAAGGTGGTGCCTAAAATTGTAATTAGGCACTATCCACTGACTTTCTGTAACTTCACCTTATCTAAGTGCCTTGGCATAACTTGTTAGAGAGAATGCCTCAGCGCCCTTCGTTTTGACTTTCCCTCTGCATCCTTCTTTGTAATATGCTTTGTGACATTCACAGATTCATTTCTAAACAGTCACAGGAATTCAAAATTTCTTCCTCGAGTGCCACATCTATCCTTCACAGATGTGTATAGGAGTTTAGATTCACTAACATTCACCAACTCGGTGGATATGAGTCTGAGCAAACTCCAGGAGATAGGGAGGGACAGGGAAGCCTGGCCTGCTGCCATCCATGGGGTTGCAAAGAGTCGGACGTGTCTTAGCAACTGAACAACAACAACAGCAACATTTATTGGGCACCTAATATTTGCCAAATACTATGTTGGGACATTTACAGAACTTTTATGATGTGATCCTCCCAGTAACTTCATAAACAGTACATCTCAGATGTGCCAGTTTCCCAAACATATGCCAAGGCTCTGAGAGTCCTCCCTCGGCTCTGCAGAACCTACTTACTCAGGGACAACACGTCGTCAGCCGTCAGTGAGCACTGGTGAAGATCCAGCCCCTCCAGGTGCTCCAGCGTGGCCAGCCCTGCAGTGTCTTCAAATCCTCCACCCAGCTCCTTGTTGCAGGAAAGGTCTAGTGTCCTCAGCTCACACAAGTATCTAAAGGCAGCATCTACAAAGAAGGTCAAAATCCTGCTCTGACATATTACAGGACAGTCAGCTGGAGTGGAGCAGGGGAGGGGGCAAGCATGGAGAAGGGAGACTAAGAAAATACATACACTGTGATGACAAAACCCCAAATGGAGGGATAACTGTCTGCTTTGTACCACGAAGCCCTTTGGACCTGACAATGTCTTCGAACACTCTCCCTTTGACCTACATTGATTGCTAGCGCTTTTGCTTAGATTTCTGCACCTACTGGTTCTTCCTCTACTATCCTTGAGCATTGGTACATTAGCAGCATTCTAGACTGAAACTGCCAAGGAGAAGGATAGGACAGGCTCTAGAAGATGAAAGGATAAAAATACATTTCACTTGGTATTCTCATGTAATGTGGGTACTCTATATAGCAGAGTAAATTTTAACTACAGATGTCACTGAAGTTGTTTTTATCAGCACCAATTCCTTCTTACTACTAAGCATAAAATAATGCTGGCACTTTCAAAAGTAAGAGAGAAATGGAGAGCTTTAGTAGTACACTTTTATTTTGCACACTGTCTCTCTCATATCTAAAATACCCTGGCCTTTTTGGAGTTGGCCATTTAGTTTTGTAATTGTAAAAATACATGCTCACTGTAAAAGACTTGGAAAATTAATAAAACTTGAAGATTTAAATTACCCATGATCTCATTCCCCAACCTAACCTCTGTTTCTAGTTTGTTATATTTCCTAACAGCTTAAAAAATCAAATGTAAAATAAAGTTATATAGAAGCTTCAGTCATTGCTAACTTACCCAGTAGCTTGACACTCTTTTGTGACAACCCACATGAATGTAACTTCAAGACTTTCAGGTTTGAGGTACTTTTTAGTCCATGAGCAATACTATTGAGACTGCCACCGATGTTTCTGTTAATAGAAAGATTGAGTACTTCAAGGTTTTGCAGTCTAGGTAGCAACTGACCTGGAAGAAAAGAAATCAAAGAACAACTCAGTAAAGATGCAGGGTGTGGGACTTCTCCGGTGGTCCAGTGGTTAAGAATCTGTCAGCAATGCAGGGGACACGAGTTCCATCCCTGGTCTGGGAAGATTTCACATGCGATGGGGCAACTAAGCTTGCAAGCTGCGACTATTAGTACTAAAGCCGGTGCTCTGGAGCCCATAGGCTGTAACTACTGAGCCCATGCACCCTAGAGCTCGTGCTCCGCAAAAAGAGTAGCCGCACTCACTGCAACTAGAGAAAGCTCACTTGCAGCAGTGAAGACCCAGCACAGCCAAGAAAACAGATGTGGGCATGAAAGTTGGGGCAGGCGGGGGGTGGGGGTGGGGAGAGTGTTACGTCATCATGTGACCTGGGATATAGTGAGCTACTCTTTCAATTCAGGGTGAGAGGAAACACAGCCAATGTCAACTCCCAGGCTCTCCAATTATGGGCATCTTCACATTTTTCCTGGGAAGGACTCTACCAAACTCTACTCACCCACAAACACCCCATCTTCTGATGTAAGCGTACAGTCCACAAGCTCAAGGGTTTGTATCTTGCTCCCTTCTTGCAACGTCTGGAGGATCAGAGGCAAGTTTCCTCCCACTTTACTGTTCCAGGACAAATTCAACTCTTCAAGTTCAGGCAGCACTTTAAGTGCTTCTCCTGTTGAAAAAAAAAAGAAAAAGGTCCAAAGATCAGATTGGTTGTCAGGTTCACAAAGCAGGGAATTCATTTCAAAGTCAATACAACCATCATTTCCAAAGTATTGAAGCCGGGCCAGGTCCTGGTTAGATGCCAGGGAACAGGGAGGAGAAAAGGACCCAGTTCCTACCCACAACCGGCAGGGTGAGCTTCTAGGCACAGCCAGGGTTATGAAGCCATGCTCATAAGCAAAAATTGTAAAAACAACAACAACAAAAAAAAAAAATCCACCTGTCGGTAAGGTGTGTGTGTGTGTCTAAGTCACTCAGTTGTATCCAATTCTTTGCGACCCCATGGATTGTAGCCCGCCAGGCTCCTCTGTCTGTGGGATTCTCCAGGCAAGAATATTGTAGTAGGTTGCCATTCCCTTCCCCAGGGGATCTTCCTGACCCAGGAATCAAACCCAGGTCTCCTGCGTTGCAGACAGATTCTTTACCTAAGCCACCATGATTTTACCAAATCGTTTTTATGGTAGTAAATATTTCTACCAGTCCATCTACTTTCTCTCATCCACCCTCTTTAGGGATCATTATTGCTGAGAAGCTTGTCCAGAGGTAGAAATAGAAAAGATTTAGAAAATAAAACATGAAGATTTAAATCACCCATAATTTTATTCCCCAACATAACCACTGTTATATTTCAGCCAGAGGTAGAAGCAAAAGCTGGGGACTGGCCATCACAGAGGAGAAGCTCACTCTGACATCAAGAATATCACATACAACTGATCCAACCACTGCAGGGAGGAATGAATAAGGGAGCACTAGGCATTAGCAGGAGAAGGCAATGGCAACCCACTCCAGTACTCTTGCCTGGAAAATCCCATGGATGGAGGAGCCTGGTGGGCTGCAGCCCATGGGGTCGCGAAGAGTCGGACACGACTGAGAGACTTTCACTTTTCATTTTCATGCATTGGAGAAGGAATTGGCAACCCACTCCAGTGTTCTTGCCTGGAGAATCCCAGGGACAGCGGAGCCTGGTGGGCTGCCGTCTATGGGGTCGCACAGAGTCGGACACGACTGAGGCGACTTAGCAGCAGCAGCAGGCATTAGCAGTTCATCATGCCTTGGGATGCAAGCAGCTCATGACAGCCCTAGGGTAAAGAAGGATGCAGTGAGCAGGGATGAAACTTAACATTTCTGACACCATTTCACACAGGAAACACTTGACGGCTACAGAGTGGAAGCCGGGAGAGAATGGGGGATCAGCCCTTAGGAATGATTGTCATTGATTTGGGGGCAGAACAGAATGGTGAGCTGCACACAGGCAAAATGTACTTTCTCAACATGTGGAGTCAATCTGAACACCAATTAAGAGTGTTGGAAGGTCCACTGAGTCCAGAAACCTCTATTCTACTGCTGGATACCGGGCGTGAACTTCTGCCACAGATGATTTATTCTATGGGTTAAGGTTTCTCGGGCTTCCCTTGTGGCTCAGCTGGTAAAGAATTCACGTGCACTGCAGGAGACCTGGGTTCGATCCCTGGGTTGGGAAGATCCCCTGGAGAAGGAAAAGGCTACCCACTCTAGTATTCTGGACTATATTCTAGTATCATGGACTATACAGTCCATGGGGTTGCAAAGAGTCAGACATGACTTAGCAACATTCACTTTAAGGTTTTTGGAGTCCAAGAGCCCCACTTAAAAATGCAAATTCTTCAGGAAGTTTAACAACATAAGTCGATAAACAGGTATCACTTTGTATGCCATTGCCAGTCAATGGAGTGTGACTTTAATAGCCCTGAGGCATGCCCAGAATCAGGGAGAAAGAGGGCATGATTGTCTGTAGTACATCTAATTGGAGGGCTATACACGTGCCATCCTGCACTAAGCAATTGTAACAGGTGTAATAATGTTGGAGTGACTCCTGATTTGTGCTTTCTTAACAATAAACCATTTACTCTCCTACTTTTCTTATGCCCCATCTGCCATTACGGCTAAGTAGAGTATGGATGATAAGAAAGCTCCTCCTGGTGAAGAGGATACAGAAGTCCTTCCAGAGAGGATAACTTCTTGAGGAGAGGGAAAAGGACACAGAATGTCAGTGACAAGGTTGCAGACTCTCTCCTGGACCAGATGAGTTTGGAGTGAGTCCCAGGGTAGAAATTCCACCTGCTGGGTTTCCCTTGTGGTCTGTGGTAAAGAATCTCCCTTGAAATGCAGGGGACACTGGTTCGATTCCTAGTCAGGGAAGATTCTACATGCCTCGGGGCAACTAGGCTCCTGTGCCACGACTACTGAAGCCTGAGTGCCCTAAAGCCTGTGCTCCTCAACAAGAGAAGCCGCCACAGTGAGAAACGCATGCCCTGCAACTAGAGAGTAGGCCCCGCTTGCCACAACTAGAGAAAAGCCTGTGCAATGAAGACCCAGTGCCTACAAAAATAAAATTAAAATTAGTTAATTAAATCTAAGCATTAAAGAAAATTTAATTTCTGGTTCCTTAAGGTTGGAGGATCATGAAAAAGATTAGATTAGTCAAAAATAAAGAAACTATACTTCTTTTCATGACTGAGTAACAGTATGTTAAATTTGAGACTCTGCTACATGATAACCAGCTGCTAACCTGTGAGGCTAAATTGATCATAGAAAACCATAGAAAGGTAATTCTGGATGGGGAAAGAGGGAAAGAGGGACTTATCGATTATTGAGCGCCTACTATGTGTCAAGCATGCAGTAGGTACTTTATAAAAGTTATTTAATCCTCACAATTTTTTGAGGTGGCTATCATCCCCACTTCAGAGGTAATAAAACCGAGGCTCGGAAAGGTTGTTTTGTCCATGGTCACAAAAGTAGTTAGAAGTGGGACCAGGATTTTAACTAGGATCTGGCCATTTTCTAAGGAATGAATAGAGAGAAGTGCATCTGTGCATGCTCAGTCATGTCTGACTCTGTGACCCCCGTGGATTGTAGCCCACCAAGCTCCTCTGCCCATGGGATATTTCTGACAATACTAGGGTGGATTGCCATTTCCTCCTCCAATTCAGAGAAAAGACATTGGCATAAATTTTGTTGCTTTTACAGAAATCTTTGCCAAGATGTAAATGATCAAAATACATCATTGAAATAAAGACTTGAGATGAAAAGAAGACTAAAAAAGTATGTCTGGCATCTAAAATCAGCAAGCATTCCAGTAAAGCAGCTGGGTTAGCAGCATGACAAATTTTAGCCTACATTTTAGGTTATTCAATGTTCAACATACAGAACTAACTTAACCGAGGTTCTGGTTCTACTTAAACCATTGCTTTTATTTGAAAAATCTTGTTTTGATCAATTTTTTAAAAATAGGAATGGGAAAAGAGAAAAGTATTTTGAAATTGGAAAGGAACTTAATTTATCTATCCCAATTTCTCTGTGTTACAGATGAGGTAACAGACCCAGAGTGAGCAAAAATTTTGCAATTATTATTTCCATTTAAACTCCCTGAGACCAGAGGCTTGCTCAGCCTGTTCCCCTCTTTATCGCAGGGCTTAGCTTACACAGTTCTCTAAAAAGTATGCAAATCCTCAACACAGCACTGCATCATGTACAGACAACGCTTTCATCCTCGTCCATGGGAATCCACAGGGAGTGGTCACCCAGGTAATTTGCCCTTGAGGGTTTGGATTGCAGAGATCCTTCCAGGCAAGTACTCTCTCAAGGGAAGCATTCATCATACCCAGTGCCCGAACATCCTCAGCGGTAAGTCTGCAACTACCCAGCCTCAGGATTTTTAACTTGCTGACAAGATGCATTTGCTGGGTGAATACATGGAGGTTTCCACCTATGACATCATTCCAGGAAATATCCAGGTTTTCCAAGTCTGGGAGAGAAGGCAGCAAAGCAACTAGAAGTGAACACAAGAAAAGACAGATTTACATGTGGAATTTGTGACTTGTAGTAAACAGGATCCATCTACTGCTTATTGCTCTGTAAGAGGATAGAAGGATGGACAGGCTGACTTTCCGCACAGCAGGGCTCCCTGAGGGGTGCAACTGGAGATGTTGTGATATTACATATCCTATTTCTTGGGACCTTTTTTATTTCTGCCAAATAACTGCATTCTGAAAAGGCAGTGGTGTTTCTCTGAGATTTCATAATAATTCCTTTACTGCAGTGGAAATGGTAATTCAACTACAACTGTTACTACCGCTGTCACCACAATGTGTATACACTGGTCCTTTTATTTTGCAAACCCTCTAACAACCACCACCCTGTCATTCATTGGCTCTTCAAGCTGAAGGCCTGGGGAACACTCCATTGGCCAGGACTGCTCAGACCGTGCCCATTAACTCTTTTTCCTTATCTAGATCACCTGGGTAGCACCATCTTACAAACCTCCTGTTATACCTACATGGGCCAACATGTTGAGGTTTATACGGGCACAAAGCCTGACCAGAACCTTCTCTGAGTCTCCTCCATTGCCCACGAAAAGTGAAGCTGCTCTCCATGAACAAAATCATCCAAGGTTATCTTTATCTCCTGCAGCCTTGCTTGAGAGTGGAAATGCCAAAGTCGAGGTTGGAAGGTATCTTTGCTTGCTTGCTTTAAATAAATATCTTGGACGTCAAAATAGTGGCAGGATTTAGACGTTACACGGTGAGCTTCTAGTGTTACAGGCACAGCAATTCCTGACCTTCCACCATTCTGAAGAAATTCTGAACACATACTTAGGGGCAAAACTTTTTTTATGTTTTCTTTTTACCAGCATTCAAAGCATTAGTCACTTAGTCATGTCCTACCTACTCTTTGCGACTACATGTACTATAGTCCACCAGGCTCCTCTGTCCTTGGGATTCTCCAGGCAAGCATACTGGAGTGGGTTGCCATTTCCTTCTCCAGGGGATCTTCCCAGCCCAGGGACTAAACCCAGGTCTCCCACATTACAGGCAGATTCTTCACTGTGAGTCATCAGGGAAGCCCAAAGCATGTCAGCAATTTCAATTTGTTTACCATGATCCTAGCTTTACAAAGTACGAAAGTCTACTGAACACATTAGAAGGCAAAAAACCAGCATTCCTGGGACCCACTCTGGAAGATTTCAGTTCAGTGGGTTTGGGTTGGACTCAAGCATCTGCATTTCCACAGCTTCTGCAAGATACTGACACATATACAGGCATTTGAGAACCACAGGCATGGTTACAGTTTCCTGCTAAGAGATCTGTCTCAAATGTAATGGCATGGATTTTCATTAAAATAGTCAAGGACCGACTCCCCTCACTCAAAACGCAGTTCTCTTGATTCCTCTGTTGGTAGACACATTTAATGTGATTAAATACTTGACTTAAGATATCCAAAAAAAGAGAATCTTTAAGAAGGTGATGATGGTGTTGTTGGGAAGAGGGTTTTTTGCAACCAAACTCCTATTGGAGTGTCACAAACAGTAGTTGTACTCTTGTGTAAAAAAAGATGTGAGCTGTAATCACTAGGAATGATACTTTTCATTCCGCAGACAGCAACGTGATGCCCCTTTAAAGTCCCAGCAGGGCTTGCTTTTATGGATGAGTTTATATCCTATGCAAGAGCAGATGAATTTCAGAGAGTTAGAGGTAATTAGTAGAGAGGTAAAATTGCTCAGGGAAAACAAACCTCCCTCCTAAACTTGGGCTCAAATCTTTGAAACCTGAGGAAGAATCAATTGACTTAAAAAAAAAATAGCGATGTAGCTGCTCTTCCCGAATTGTCCAGGCCACCCTGCAGACCTCGGGTTACCAAGTGGGGTCGGAGTGCTTAGCCTGCTCATCTCAGCCCTCTGCGCCCTCTGCGCCTCTGGATAAGGCTGACTCCATACAGACCCGTCTCCGTCACATCCACTGCTGTCAGCCTGCAGTTGTTCAGATCTAGACACTTGTTGACAGCCTTTCTGCCCAGCTTCCGCAGAAACCACTCGTTTTCCTGCATCCTGGATCCCAATTCTGTTTCTGAAGTGAGAGTCTTGGCTGTATGATAAGAATAAAGAAGAATTTGCTGTGAATGACAGTATTAAAGATGAGACACGTGAGAAGACAGACAACTGTGACCTAGTCATCTGTGAAACCTCAACTCAGAAGGGGACAAAACCTGACCTCTGTCCCTGTGGCTGGTGCTCAACACTTGCTGCTCTAGGGACCCTTTTCCTACAATGGAGCCTGAGGAACTCAGAGGCTCTTCTTTCATGGCCTGACCTGGGCTTCTTGCATGGAGGCTGAATCATGTTCCTAGACGAAGCAGTAAACTTGTTAGCACCGCGTTTAAAACAGCTCTGGTGGAAGGATGCACAGACATCTTTGGTGAACGCACTGCTGGGGGAGGTGCCCACATGCTGGCCTCCTAACAGGTTAGACGAGGAAGGGGGAACATTGCAGTCACTCCCAATGAGCCTCAGATGGCTAAAGGGAGCAAATGAAGCACTTGCTGCTCATTTCATGCTGCTCGTTCCTAGACCCTTCAACCAATAAATCCAGAGAGAGTAGTGCCTACAAGAGCTTTTGTATTTTCTCAACTCCTGCCAGAGAATATATTCAGAAAACCTCATTTGTCTTTGTTATAAGGTAGTGTTTTTTTTTAGGGACATATGTGACACCCTTGCCAAGTTCTTCTGTAATAATGCTGCACTAACATGTCACTAACATTTAAAAAGATTAAATAAAAATAAGAAGCTATAATTTTGTGTGTATGTTAGTCTCTCAGTCATGTCTGACTCTTTGCAACCCCATGGACTATATTAATTTTATTAATTAATAATTAATAAATGTATTAATTTTATTGTTTACTACTGCATGTGTCAACATGTAAGCCATGTGGAACATACTGTACTTTTGTAAGACAAAATGAATAAGCATGTACGGACAGTGACTTTAATGAGGTCCTGTAGTGATAATACATATAGGGACTTCCCTATTGGTGCAATAGTTAATAGTCCACACTCCCACCACAGGGGGCATGGGTTCAATCCCTTGTCAGGGAACTTAAATCCTGCATGCCGTGTGGTCAGGCCAAATAAATAAATATAATACATACAAACAGTATGCATAATGGGATCCAATAGGAAAGCATAAGTTCAAATGTACAATAATACTCTACTAACCCTGACAAAAAAATATACAAATCATATAGAGAAAAAGAAATATATTGGCACCAGGGAAAATGAAAAGATAGCAGCATTACCATAGTAGTAAATTTAGACTAAAATATTAGCAGGATAATAAAGACTCCATCTCTCTTCTGCAGTGGGTCTAGTGGCTTGCCACCTACAGGCTGTACATCTTTCATAGGATGGTTGGTGTTGCCACATTCTACCAGTAAGAGGCAGCATCATCCTCCCACTGTTTACCTCTTCACTCTGGCCTTCAATTTTTATTATAGTAAGTTGGATACAAGGTATTTTATTTTAGGTAGGGTTGCAGATTTAAGAAAAACAAAAATACCATGTCCAATTAACCTTAAACTTCTGATAAATGAAGAATCATTGTTTAGTAAAAGTACATCCCAAATAATGCAGGTATTTTTTCTTTTTCTGACAACCGTAATTTGGGGTGGATCAGAGGAGAGTTATGGATGAGGGAGACGAGGAGGGACTGCCTTTTACATGCCAGTGAGGACAGAACATTTTGTGTACACTTGATGCGAGGAGTCGTAAGCACACTCTCTCATAGATTTGGAAGCCGAGACTCAGACTGTTAATTGGTCAGCAGCAGAGTCAGAATTTGAACCCAGAACAATCTGCTCTGAAGCCCATTATGTGTGCGCGCTTTTTAAATTTTTGTGCTTAAAATTTTTCCTCTGCATTGTGTCTTATTGTGCTCCTTTTTGTCTTTTAGCTTTTTTTCTTTTTTAATCTCTGTAGGTTCAACATACAACCGTGGTCAAGCTCCAGCTTCACCAAGCCTTCTTTTTCTGTTTTCTTCTCAAGCCACTGTTCTGTCAATCATTTCCTTTACTGTCAAATGTTTGAAAAGAGTGGAGTGTGCCTGCTAGCCCTGCTTCTTCAACACAGTCACCAATTAATCCTCCACATTCTAGTTGCCATGCTCATCTGGCCAAATAAATTGCTTCTCCAAGGTCACCACCACCAATGATGGCTAGGCCTTTAAGGATGGTTGTTCTCTTGATCTCTGTCCATCCCCTGCTTGACCAGGCCTTGCTTTCCTCACATGACTATCCAATCCTCTTAATTACAGGGCTTTATCAGTAACTGCCTGCCTGCTTGCCCCCTGCCCCAGCTGCTGGCTTCCCTGGTTACTGATGAGCCCACCTCCCCTATAAATGGGAGCATCCTTCTCCTGCTGAATATCAAAGACTGCTGCCATGTCCTGCCCGTTGTCTGTCACACATGGTGGGGTGTGACTCCAGGACCTTTCTGTAAGATGCCCCTAACCAATGACCACTGATGCCTCTATTGCTGTCACCAGGCTTTTTCTTTGGTCTTAAGTCAGGGCAACTACAAGATTTGCAGGTCAGCGGGGTGCAGCCCAACAACCAACCGACAGATTCTGAAATCCCTTTGCAGACCACATCCTACTTGACTGCTCTGTAGTATATATTTTATATGATTGGCAAGTCCAAGGCAGCACAACTGGAAAACCTGGATCAACTCGTGGGTCCATCAGGTAAGCAAGTCATTTAACTTCTCTGAGCCTTGGTTTACTCATCTATAAAATGGAAACTATAATTCCCACCTGGATCATTTATCAGGAGTGTAGTGACTTAAAATTGCTGAACCTTCCCAGGAAGATGGGCCTCTACAATACCTTTGACATGATACATACTTTGTAAACACTGTTGAATGAACAAATAGCTAAATGAGTTGCGGTGAGCCGGCCTGCTCAAGGCCCAAAAAGGCCCTGGGAAAGCCTTGAAAGAGGCTGTTCCCTGTCCCGCCACCCCATGATAAAGTAGTAGAACATTTGCTGGGCCTCCTTTGTTCTTCCTTGAGAAAAACGTAGTAGTGACCTTCACTTAGTAGTTTATCTTGGAATGCCAAAAACAAGATGTAAGCTTCTGCAATCACTTAAGACAAAAAATTGTATTGATGTAACAAACACCAGATGGCATTTTTTATTAACTATGTTTTCTGCTTGTACTAGTATTAAAGGTAGCTGCTTTACTCAATAAAACCGCTGACTTGCCTAAAGAGCATTTCAGTCCTCTCGACCCCATTCTTTACTTTCAGCTTTTTTTTCTCAGGCTTCCATGTTGCTGCGGTCTAGACCTGTTCACATTGCCGGCTGGTCCCGGCAATGAGTGAATGAATGAATATTAGCTTTATAGTTCCTCAATTACCAAAATCAAGATGATAAATCTGTATCAATACACCTAAGTATAAATATGAGTACCAGTTTTTGAGGCCCCCACACATCACCTTACAGACCATATATATGTTTTTTTAAATCTATGAAACTCTTCCTTCAAAAAATATCTTATGTCACAGATCAATATATGTAACAGATGAGTCAGATCTGCTACAGGTTGGCTGTTGCTACAGAAGGGCTGGTGCTCCGTGGAGGGGGCAAAGTGACCACATGTGAGCAGCTCCGCGGAGCGATTCAAGGCCTTTTGTGATTGCTGTTCTGCTGAACCAAATTATTGCTTCTCCAGGAGATTCTGTGAGCCAAGCAGGATCTTCTCACCTTAGTTCTTTTCCAAGCTAAACCTGGAGAGGTTGGCTTTTGTTGTTTACAACCAAGAATCCTAATACACTCATAAAACATGATTATGTTTGCAACGTGGGTGGTGCAGTGCAAGGAATCAAGATAAAAGTTCCTGTTATCAAGGAGCTACCTGTCTGATGGAGGAGACAGATGAGACAGCCAGGGTCACAGTACGGAGGAAAAGTGCAAGGGTGGAGGCCAGCAGGGGCGCCAGGTGGCCCAGGGTAGAGACAGTAAATGCTTTGGTTCTTGGGATGGGTCTTGGCAAGCTTCCAGGTGAAAGTATTAGTTGCTCAGTCATGTCCAACTCTTTGCAACCCTGTGGACTGTAGCCCACCAGGCTCCTCTGTCCATGCCATTCTCCAGGCAAGAATACTGAAGCGGGTTGCCATTTCCTTCTCCAGGGGATCTTTCCAATCCAGGGATCGAACCCAGGTGTCCCACATTGCACGCAAGTTCTTCACTGTCTGAGATGCCAGGGAAGCCTAAGTGAAAGTGGTAGATAAATTTCACCTTAAAGATGAGTTGGAGTCAGCCAGGTGGGTGGTCAGGAGGGAGGGATAAGTGGGGGAGGGGTGCAGAGGGAGAATAGAGACACAAGGGAAGGTCTTTTTTGGCACAGGGAACCATTCTGGGGGAATGTGGCCAGATCAGGAAACTGCAGGTAAATCAGAATATCAGCAGTAGAGGATGAATGTGAGGTTGGGGGAAGGCAGAGGCCATGAAGAGATATTCAGCTTACCACAAACACAATGAAGATCATGCTTGAGAGTATAGACTTTCTCTTCAAGGCAAGAAAGACTCATTGAAGAATTTCAAACCAGTGGAAGACATCTGTGGTTTAGAAAGGGCATCCGGCGGAAGTGTGGGGGACAGGCTGGCAAGACAGCAAGACCAGGAGGAGAGAAACCAGGTAGGAAACAGTGGCAGTGGTCCATGCCGTAGATGAGAAAGCCAGGACAGCAACAGAGAAGACCAGCCAGGTCCCAGAGCCATCTGGGGGACAATTCATGTAACTCCAGGGGCCGCTGAGTCGGGAGAAATGAAAATGGAGAAGCCACACACATCTTGAGGGGCTGGTATTGGCCAGCTGAGATAACCAGCTGACCGCACTGTTGATTTAATCGTGATAATAGGTATCCACTGGGGCTTCCCCAGAATCCACTTGCTGACAGAGGAGATGCAGGTTTGATCCCTGGGTTGGGAAGATCCCCTGGAGGAGGAAATGGCAACCCAATCCAGTGTTCTTGCCTGTGAAATCCTATGGACAGAGGAGCCTGGCAGGCTACAGTCCATGGGGTTGCAAAAAAATCAGACACCACTGAGCACTACTACATGGGTATCCATTAACCAAGTTCCTAAAGCCCCAAGTCATATTTTAGAACAAATAGCAACAACTTTCTGATTACCTTCTTTTAAAGACAGACTTCTTAATTTTCTACTTTCAAAAATGTATTCAAACTGCTCACAGGTAAAGTGATATTTCTGGCATTTGGTACAAATAATCTGACAGACATAGGGGTAAGTATAAATGAAATAAGACTGGCCATGGGTTGATAATTGTTAGAGGAAGGTAATCATGGGGACTTGTACTGTTCTCTCTTATATGTGTTTGCATGAAAAGTATAAATGTTTTAAAAATACATTTACTCTAATAATGTATTGATGACACTGTATATGTCATGACTTTAGAGAGAGATTGGCAATATTTTCATAACCCTTGAATTTGTAATCTCTGTGCTGGGAACTTTCAGCTATTTAGTATAATACAGGGAAGCAGAAAACAAGGGAGAGGGAAAGCCAAAGATATTCACCAAAGGGCAAAAAGAGGAACTTAAGTATGCCATAGGCATGGAATGGAATATTATGCCACTGTCAAAAGTAGGCACATAAACATCATGTAACCATGTGAGAACTGAACAGTATAATAAGTCCCAGAAGTAGGATCATGGCTCCATGTAAGCTCAGGGGGGTTTATAAGCTCTTCTAATTGTACAAAGTATGTCCATTTGGCCTCTGCTACCTCGTCCTCTCTCCATCTTTCATCCTGCTTCAGTATCCCTAACCTCCGGGCCAGCTCTCAAGCACTCCAGGCTCATTCCCATATTGGGCCTTTGGATTCACAGATCCCTTTGCCTTGAAAGCTACTCCCTAAAATATCTATATGGCTGGCTTCATTCATTCTACGTGGCTGACTTTCAGATCTCAGCTCAGTTTCTGCTACTAAATCAGAAACTCCTTCCTGCCAACTGCATCTAAAATTACCCCAGCCCATCATTCGCTCTCTCCTTAGATTGCTTATTGGTTTTCATATGACTTATCACACAAAAAGTATGCCTGCTTTTGGTTCTTTGTGTACATAAGGTTCTCTTTTTCATGGCTATATTTCTAATAAGTGACTGGCACGTAGGAGGTACTCAATATTTGTTGGCTGGTTGGTTGACCATAGATATATGCATATGAAAATCTGAAAAGAATCTTGAAGAGATAGCACTTTGTGTTAAAATGAAAGGAAACTGGGTATTTTTCTCTAAACCTTTCTGTGACATAATTACCTTTGATAATTTAAAAGTAAAATGAGCAAATTATTTAAAACATTTAACAAAATATATGCTTAGAACAGATTTTATTATATTAGCTGTCATTTAACTCATGTCATCTCTTTAGGGGAGAATGCTAAGTCACTTCAGTCATGTCCAAATCTTTGTGACTCTATGGACTGTAGCCCACCAGGTTCCTCTGTCCATGGGATTCTCCAGGAAAAAATACTTGAGTGGGTTGCCATGCCCTCCTCCAGGGGATCTTTCCAACCCAGGGATCGAACCTACTTCTCTTGCAACTCCTGCATTACAGGCTGATTCTTTACCTCTGAGCCACCGAAGAAGCCCTTAGGGGAGAAAATTGTTCTAAAAAATTAAGAAATAACATCAGGCAGAAGCTTACCAAAGTCTAAGGAGATTGTCTTCGGTGTCTTGTCCTGGGATTGGGAATCAGTTGTTTTAGGGTCAATGCTCTCTTTTCTGCTTCCAGGTTTGGGGAACCTGGATTTTGACTCCCTGATGCTCTCATTGACAAGTGGAGCCTGGGGTGTAGTTTCTCCATCTGAGGAGCTTTTCTTCCCTATTCGACTCATGGTCAAGTTGAATAGGGTCTTTCTCAATAAGCCATCTTCCTATGGTTTTCTGTTTTCTAGGATTTCAGCAAGAAAAGAGAGTAAGACTGTCAAGCCTCTGTGAAATCCAACTTCCCTACACACGTTTTTGTTTCCTCTTTCTGTTCTTATTGCTGATAATGTTTAACGTAGTAATAAGAAGGACGTAACCCAGGATCCTGGAACTAACAGATGGCAGCAGATACAAATCCAAAGCAAATTTGAGTTTGAAACTTTGCCCTATTTTATTGGGAGAAATGATTCTTTAAACACCACTTCGACAAGTGCATTGAATGTGTCGATACCTTTTTTATTTCAACAGTCATAGTTACCTTCTGAGAGAGATTGTATAAAAGAAGTTGGCATGCCTCTAAGCTCCCTGGCCCTTTGCAAAACTGCCCAGAGGAGACTGCTTCAGTGACTCCAGGTGCATCTCTTGGCACACTGTTCCTTTTCTCTTGGCATTTTCACCTTCCCTACTCAGCCCTGCACTTTCTCCCATAAAAACACATCAGCAGTCAGGAATTAATTCACTCCACGAAGTGAACATCTCTGGGCCAGATACTGTTCTTGACGCAAGAGAGTCAGTGACTAACAAGATGCAGCTCATGTGACTTAAAAGTCTTAACCTGATGGAAAGATGGGCCCATATGCCAATAATTACCCTGGGACAAAGGCCGTCAGGGAGGAGAGACCCCTGTGGTCAGGAAACCCACTGTTAGACTAAGCCTGACTTGGAGCTTAACTCTGAGCAATGAATGACATTACCTGGGTTTTGAGATAGTTAAAAAGAGAGAAGGGAAAGTGTCCCAGGCAGGAAAAATCAGTCTCACAAGCTTCTAGGTATGAAGACCTAAAGGAGCCTGGGGTTGCCTCTAGGAGATGATTCTGGGTGCCTGGAGCAAGGGATGTGGGGGCTGGAAGTTAGGGGTGGGTCTGGTGTGACTGGAGGCTCAAAATTCATGAGGGTTTAATCTATCCTCCTTCCTGGGATCTGTTTACATTTTACAGGAGGATTAAAGACTTAAACAGGGTTTCCCAGGTGGCGCTAGTGGTAAAGAATCCGCCTGTCAAGGCAGAAGATCCAAGAGAGATGCTGGTTCCATCCCTGGGTAGGGAAGATCCCCTTGAGTAAGAAATGGCAACCCACTTCAGTATTCTTGCCTGGAAAATCCCATGGACAGAGGAGTCTGGCAGGCTACAGTCCATGGGGCTGCAGAGTCAGACACGACTGAGCAAAGCAACTCAGTACTAAAGACTTAAACTAAAGGGATAAAACTATAAATGGAATTTTAGATTCTGCTATTAAAGTTTAGATTCTGTCCTTAGGCTCGGGCCTAATAGATATTCTTGAAATAACAATGTTCATGGCTCCCTCCCTATAAAATAGGTCTGTCTGTAATACTACATTCCAGAATGGTTCAAGAAACATTTTGCTCACAGGGGATCCTCAATGACCTTGCAGAGCCCACCTCAATGCTTGGGGGATGGAATGTTACTAATATCTAGAATACTACTTTAATTATTTCACTTATTTATTTTTGGCCCTGATCAGGAATGGAACCCATGCCCCCTGCAGTGGAAGCTCAGAGTCTTAACTACTAGACCACCAGGGAAGTCCCCTGGAGTACTATTTTAGAAGTAACACCTAGGGGTCTTTTTTTTTTTTTGTCTTTTCAAACTAGAGCAGGATTCAGCCCAGGTGTTTACAGGAACAGACAGCTCTGGGACCAGACAGTTGTCCAGCTACAGCCCCACAGCTGACCAAGCCTCAGAAGGTTAGGTGGGAGAGACCTTTAGCTTGTGAATCCAGCCACAACCTGCAGCCGTGCCTGCCCCATTTCAGTTCCACCATCTCCCAAGGGCCCTTTTCCTTTCACTGCTTCTCTGGCATCCACCCAAGACTTACCTCCATGGTCACTTTCACTCAATTTCACCTTTTGGAGGTATAGACACAGCCATTCTCTGGAGCCATCCCAGTAAATGCTTTCCCTTTTTCTCCCCGCTCCTTAAATGTTGTGACTTCAACTCCCAAGCCTTAAGAAAACACTGCGGGGCGGTGCTCCAGGATGTGGTCATTTCCCCGCATGAAACCCCACCCAGCTGGTGAGGCCCTGCTGGGCTCTCCGTGTGCACGAGGACGCGGCAGAGCAGAGTGGGGAGGGCCGGGAGGCAGGGAGGGTCAGAAAATACACAGGGGAAACAGCACACAGTGGGGAACGAGGAAAGCAGAAAGGAAAAGAAAGCTGCTGAGAGGCACCAGGGAATCGGGAAAGTCCCAAGTACGAGGAAGGCCGGCTTGTGGGAGCGAAGGGGAAAGCACCCGCCTATTTCTCGATGCAGAGTGGGTTAAGCAGTAGGTTACCATGCTCCTGCTTAGAAAAGAAGTGTTTTCAAAATATCTTTGGGGAATTCCTCTTTATATACAAACTTGAACAAGTTCTCAGACTTTCTCACAGCAACTCAAGCTTTAAGTCTGGCTTCCCCCGCATCTCTGTGCTGGGTTTTTCACTGTGAAGGTAAACAAATCCTGGAAACTGAATTTGGGGAACTTTTCAGATCATAGCATAATTAGGCTCTAGCCACAAAAGAAAACTGAGGTTTTGCCTCTTCTCCCAGAATCAGAGGCATTCACTTAAAAGCTCTTTGGGAAAACCAATGGCTGGCATTTAGCTGGGTAATTATTGTTGATAATTTACTGTATTATCAGTTGGTAAGGCTATTTGCCATGAAACCCCAAGGATGATACATATTTGACACATCTCTTTTAAGTGGTTTTCATTTATTTTGGCAAAAGTGAGGAATATCTTTTTTTTTTTCCATCCTTAGGTTTTTGGCTTAACATTTATTTAAAATTTTCAAGGAATGCTTTCAAAGGCCTTATAATTTTGATCCAATGTTTTCAGAGTGAATCATACTTTCAGTGTTGCTTGTTAAGGGGAAATGTGTTTTTCGTTCTTCCCAAAACTTATTTCATTAAAAAGCATGACACATACTACAACATGAATGAAGCTTGAGAATGTAAGAGGAAAAAGCCAGTCACCTAAAGGCAAATACTATATGATTCCACTTGCATGAAGTATATAGAGGAATCAAATATATAGAAACAGACTGTACAGTGGTTGCCAGGACTTGGGGGAGAGGAAAATTGGGAGTTGTCTTAATGCATACAAGGTTTTATTTTTGTAAGATAAAAAAGCTCTGGAGATCAGTTGCTCAGCAATGTGAGTATATTTAACACTACTGAACTGCAGATTTTGAAATGGTTAAGATGTTAAATTTTATGTTTTGTGAGTTTTTAAAATTTTTTAAATTAAAGTATATTTTAAAAATATGATTCAGAAAGCTGACTCTAAATGTAAAGAAGTTTTTAAAATGCTTTAATCACTTTTTGCTTTTTTCTCCTTATGTATTTACAAGTATGGCATAATTTTTAAAAACCCAAATGTCTAGATGGGTTTTAAGAAATACAAAGTAAAACTCCTAGGTAATTTTTAAAAACTGACTCAGTCACTCAGTTCTAAAGCATTCTGGTGGCCCACAGTATCTTAGGTCACTTGTCTAATGGGCCTATTACTTCAGCGCTATTCAGAACTCTTATCTTGAAAACGTATTATTGTAGATACATTTCTAGCATTGGTTAATACTTCTATTTTCAATGAATTTAGGCAAGGAAAGGGGTTTACTAAAAGGATGACAACCCTTCTTCTTTTAAAAAGGTGGCAAGAGGAAGAGGACATATGTATACCTATGTTTGATTCACATTGATATATGGCAGAAACCAGCACAGTATTGTAAAAAGCAACTATCTTCCATTAAAAATAAACAAAATTTTAAAAGATTACAATGTGATCTGTTTTGCAAATAATAACAACAGAAAAGAACATTTATTAAAAAAAAAAAAGATGGCAAAGGTAAACATGTGTTTACCCATGTTAGGAATTTAAAAAACACAACCACTTAAGAAATCTGTAAGGATATAGAAAACTGGATAGATGCCATCAAAATTTTGGAATCTAGATAGCATGAAGATGCGTTTACCTGACTTTATACTTAATTCCCTGCAAAGGCTGGGGTAAATATTTTATAATTTTTCAAATTTCTGAAACACAAAGGTTCAGTAAGTGTACCTGTAATTGTACCAGGTAACTTGGAAGGAAGACGTGGGTATGGGTGGGGGTGAAAACAATATGATTAGTTTAAAAGTGTAAGAAGTTAAGCTATCCAATTCCATTTCTCATCCCAGGGCAGACCGAAGACTGTTCTTTTTCCCACCCTGGAAAAGACAGAAAGTTTATTTTCAGAACCAGTTAAATCACAGAGGATCTGGATTCAGAGAGACTCTGGTCATGTTTTGAGTACCTTATTGGATACAGAGGTTGAAAAAAGTCTATGTACAGAAAAATAAGATCTCTCCCTATTTCCCCTGTAGGTCCTCGAAGAACACACTGGCAACCAAACTTAGTCACTCTCTTCCCCCACCCAGTGGAGGTAGGTGGAAGGACACCTATGCAGGAAACTGACCAACCCGAGAAGGACCCTACAGATACTGATTGGGTCGAGTCCCTCAATTAAATGAAGCTGCAGCTGCCCAAGCCATTACAGAGAGGCCCGCTGATCAACACATCCTATCGGCTTCCCTGGTGGCTCAGATGGTAAAGAATCTGCCTGCAATGCAGGAGACCTGGATTCATTCCCTGGGTCAGGAAAATCCCCTGAAGAAGGGAATGGCTATTCACTCCAGTATTCTTGCCTAGAGAATTCTGTGAACAGAGAAGCCTGGCAGGCTGCAGACCATGGGGGTCACAAAGAATCAGACATGACTGAGCAACCAATACACTATTATGTATATACACAGAGCCCTTCATTCTGTTCCCCTGGAGGAGGAAATGGCAACCCACTTCAGTATTCTTACCTGGGAAATCCCAGGGACAGAGGAGCCTGGTGGCCTACAGTCCACAGGGTCGCAAAGAATTGGACAT